ACCAAGTCTGAACATTTATCACATTCTCGGTCCTATCAGAAGACATTGCTGCCTCAAGCCATTTTTACGATAACCAAATGATTCGGGAATTGATATGTTCTATGTGATGTTATGAAATGAAATTAGAATGTTACATGCAAATAAGAGACAAAAGAGATAAGTTAGTAATGTTAAATTAATTTAACGGACACAAAACACACAAAGAAAATTAAAATCCTAACCACATGCGATCTAATTCTCTTAGGTTATCCACATGACTCTATTAGGGTAGGTCATCTAATTTTCTAGATGAGGTTTGGTTCTAAGAAGGTTCCCAAGCCATCTTTACAACTTGCTAAGGTTGCCTTCGATTCTGGCCCATTACAGACTTGGGATTAGGATTTGGCTTTGGCCATCTTTATTGTGCTCGAAAAATTAAAAAAGGCAAACGCAAAGCCGTATCTAGGTAATATCTTAATTTTCGAGAAAATTCTTATACAAGTTGTGGTATCACTCAATGCACGAGGTTGAGCCAAAATGAAAAGCTAGAAAATTAGGTTAAGGTTATTGCAAATATTGGTAGTTAAGAATTGTCGACATCGTTTTTCGCTCCGGGTGGGGAAAAACTAGTATACCTTAGGATTTTTCTTTGAAAAGGTTTTTTTTTGAAATATTGTGAGTTGCCACCAATCATTTTAAGGTGCGATCGGGAAAACATAAAAACCAGGTAATTTTAATAAAACACTTTAGTTTTTTTTTATCAAAATACCAAGTTCAAGATCTATGAAAACCAGAAAACGGGTTTGGGAGTCAGTTACGCGTGAGGAAGAATTAACACCCCCACAATGCCAAAAAATCGGTATCTAGTTGATTGCCCTATATTTAAAATTGGAAATTTTGAGTTCAAAGTTTTATTTAATTTAGAAATAACTATGGATGCAAAGTTGAAGAGGGTGCTCGTTTATTAAAGCTAATAATATCCACCCCTAGCATGAACGTGGCAGATCAATTATTGTGCCCAATAACTTGACATTGCCTTGGAATTTTAAAAAATGAAGGGTTCTGAAAAAGATGTCCATCTACTTCTGGAATTACTAGTAGTCGTCCCCAGAGCATGATTGCAGGAACTATACCATTAATTCCTTAGTAAATCAACATTGACTTAGTTGTGAAATCGAAATGCAATCAAACAATCCATTTATTGGACTTGATTAAACTACGCGATTAATTAAGGCTTTCTATATCCCAAAGTATCAAATTATGAAAATTAAAGAACTTAAAGGACTAAACATGAAAGTGGAATCTCTAATATTAATCCTAATTGATTCTAATCAATTATTGATTCAAAAAAATTGATTTGAACCATTGGACTTCTTAATGCGAAAGCCAAATCAAATTATTCCCTAAATTAAAGGACTAAGGTAAAATTAAACCTAAAACGGAAGCTCTAATTAACCTAATTATTTATGTCAAATGAAAATATCTAACTAGAAAGTTCAATGACTAAATCTAAAGAAACCTAGTTTTAGGGACTAGATCAAAAAGAAGTTTAAATTTAAGGATTGGATCTAAAATCTGAATAATTATGAGGGGCTAAAATAAAAGACAAATCAGGGATCAAATTCAAATGGGAACAAAAATACAAAAATTAGGGACTTAATTAAAACAAACATAAATTGAACATCTAAATTAAAGCAAGTTTAATAAAACACAAATCAGTGGCCAATATGTAAAAACATGCTAAAATTAGGGGAATTAAACAATAAATTTCTATTTTAAGAATAACCTAAAATATACTAACAATGAAACATGCAGAATTGCAACATTAGGACAAATTACTTGACACACATACAAATAAGCCACCATATAATTAAAGTGTAAAAACACAGATAAACATTAGAGGTTAAATGCAATTCTACCAATTATTTACTTCAGTTAAAATTAATAAAATAAAAAGGAAAATCACAATATCAGGACATATTTTCGAGACTAAAAAATATAAAAAAAGAAACATGGATTAAAGTGCATAAACATAGCAAAGTACAGGGACTAAAACAAAATTTACCCATAAACTTCTACTATAAAACCTACCTTTTTTGTTTGATTCATTTGCAACTTAAAATCTAAAAAAAATCAATCCACTCTCAAATCTCTCTTTTCTTCTTCTCAGCTGAAAATCAAACCCTCGTCCTTCCGCCGTCCACCGACGACGCTCCACCCCACCGACCACCATCGACAGTGGTTGGAGTAACCAAATCTCACCGCGAACTACCCCAAGCCCCTCGTTTTAAACCCCTCTACGTAGAACTGAGCCTAAAACTAACAAATAACGACCCTCAACCCCATAAAATAACCTTTGACCCCTTGGCTTCTTTGATCCCCATCGACTGTAGATTTAAACCCGACAAACTAAGCTCCGATGATAATCTCTCTCTCTCCCCCCTCAAGTAAACTCTTTCTCCCCTTTTATTATTATTTTTATTTCAATTCAGATTAAAAAGAAAAAAACTTCTAAAGGAAAAAAACGAAAATAAACCTTGAAATTTTTCTTGCTTGGTATTGCTTTCTGAAAATGAGGGAAGAAAGGATCCTCCTTTTTACATGTTGATTCTATGGTTTTATACCCAAGATTTTACAGAGATACAAATAAAAAATTCTTAATCTCTACTTGCTCCTTTTACACTCATCATTTCCCTCTGCATGTGGTGATTTGCATTTTTAATGCCCTGGATTTTTTGGGGTTGTGTTGTTAATTTGATGAGACCTAGTTCGGCTAGGCTTGACGGTGGTGAAGACTAACGCGGTTGGACGGGGGACGAACTCGATCGACGATGGTGAGAATCAAATTTAGCGTCGACGGTTGCTACTAATATTAAAGATAGATGGTGATTAACCTTAAAATTAGGGTTAAAGTTAACCACCAAGGGATAAGGTTATGAGTTTAATGGGCTTAGGGTTTTTTAGGCTTTTAGATTTGAGCCCAATGAAAATGAGTTTGATTTGTAAATGTAAATAATATTTAATAATATTATTTTTAGTTTTATTTATAATAATAATAATAATGTGGGCCGGGTAAAAATTGATGATTACAAGAATTATCAAATTTCAATCAAAGTATATTCATTATCTATGTAAGCATAAAGAAAATTTTCATTTACAAGTTTTCATTTTCTTTTTGCATTTTTTGTGTGGTTGAAATATATTACCTTTTTCAGTTTTTTCCCCGATATAATATATAGATTATTATAAGATGAAGTACATAAATGGTCCTTGATTATAAGGTATTGTACCGTTAATTTTCAATTATTGAAAGTTATAAAATGATCCACTAATTATATGACATTGTTTTATTGAGTCTCTCAATTATTAAAATTAACAAAATGATTACCTCGATTATTCACATGACTAAGGTCCATTATAAATATCCCAACTAAGATTGATAGAGGGGTTGAACCATCTACACCCCATCTTTATATTCTCCGTTATGGTTGGCTCTCTCTTATAGAGAAATATCAATCGATGGTCGTTCCCTCGTAGATTGTAACTTCCCATCTAAATTAGAAGGGGTGATTCGTAAACGACCGAGGCGATCTGAATTCGAGGAGACATTATTTATCGTTTCTCACAAGCTTTCTTTCCCGTCTTTTCTTTACCGAAAATTTTGATCGTTCCTTCATCAATCATAATTTTTCATCTAAATTAAAAGAGGTGAAACGTTAACAACATACATGATTCATCTATTCTTATCAACAATATATATATGGTTGGATTATATTGATAATATTACAAGTATTTTGTTTTTGAATCTAATTTTTCAAATACTCATTTTGATTTTCAGTTTTTGACACATTTTAATTTATAAAAAATGTGCCTCCAAATTAGAGAAAACACGTGTAGCATCATGCAAATGCTATGTAGCATTTCACCAAACTTAAAAAATCATTTGACCTTGTGCGTTGAAGGTAGTTATGATGTACGGTAATTTTAATATACAAGTAAGGGTGTGTTTGGTTGGGGGAATGTGAGATTCCCATGGAAATGAAATTTACATTCTCACGTTTGGTTGGTCGGGAATGTCATTCTCGGTAATCTTACATTATTAATAGTAGAATTTTTGGGGTATATTACCGAGAATGTCATTATCTCTCTTTTTTTAGATATTGTTGGATTATCGACGTTTTGGACTAAAATACTCTTAAAATTATTTTTTCCAAAAATATATTTATTCTATCATTAAATAATAAAAATTCTACGAAGGTTAAATTACAAATTTATCCTTAAACTATTTTAGATTTATAAAAAAAATCTATAATTAAAATTTTATATGAAGTTCAAGGATTAAAATAAAATTTTACCCTTTCATTAAACTTTTTTATATTTTCAATTTTTTTTAAAAAATTATATAAATTTTATGAATTTAATTTTTTTTAAAGAAAATATATAAATATTTTCCAACTTGTTAAAAAAATAAATATATAATAAGAACAATTTAGTCAAATATACATTCCAATAATCTTTTATTCTTTTAACCAAACACGATAATCTTACATTCCTGCTAAACCAACCAAACACAAAATACAACATTCCTAGTAATCCTATTCTATGGTAATCTTTTATTCCTACTGGTAATCTTACATTCCGTGAACCAAAAGCACCCTAAGAGAATGTTTTATTAAAAATATTAATTTTTTAATATTTTTGATAAAATATTATTTAAAATATTAATTGTTATTTAAAATATTAATTTCATTACCTAATTTTTTATAAAAAATAATATTTTAAATAACAACTAATATTAATATTTCTGATAAAAAAATAATATTTTATGTAACATTTTATAAAAAATATTAAACATTTTAAATAACATCTAATATTAATATTTCTAATAAAAATATTATTTTAAATAACATTTTACTAAAAATATTAAAATTTTCGACATCACATTTTACTGCCTAATATTAAGGCTGCCGCTGTGTAAGAAAAAAACTAAAAAGTCAAAAAGCTCGATGAAAGCAAAGTGTAAGAAAGAAAGAAAACAAGTCAAAAAGCTCGATGAAAGCAAAGTGTAATTCCCAATCTCCGTTATGGTATGGAAATGGAACGCCCTGTCGGAGATGAATCCTCGCCACCATCTTTCTCCTTATTATAATCAATCCCTATTCCATTCCCTCACCCTCTTCTTCTTCTTCTTCTTCACACCTCTCTCCCATTCAGTTTAAAACTCATCTCCTTGATATGATCCTCGCTAAATTTACTTTTGATTTCTCTCTCTCTCTCTCTTGCCTGCAATGCACAGTGCAGATCGCTGTTTGTTCATTGAATCGATCAGGGCTTCAAAACAGTTGAATCTTGATCGTCCGTTTCTGCAGGGTGGTTTGTTCCTCAACGACAAAACAGTTTCTTCCTCGTTTGTTTCACCCATTTCACTGAAGACCCAGAAATGTTTCGATGATAAAAATGACAATGTCTTCTTGGTTTCGTATTTTTTGGGTGGTCGGAAGACTTGTCAAACTCTGGGTCCTGTGAAGTCAAGTATAGGTAGTAGAAGCAAAGGGGGTTGGTTCTTATCGGTGAGTTTGTCGGCGGAGGAAGGGCATGTTGGGGAATCAGGAGAAGATTGGGGGGAAAATGGTGATAAGAATCTGGAAGCAGTGGAAATAGTTGAAGAGGAGAAGGAGAAAGAGAAGAAGGGATCAGGTGCTTTGAATACCACTAAACATCTCTGGGCTGGTGCTGTTGCTGCTATGGTTTCAAGGTTTTGGCTTTCCCCCCTCTTTTTCCTATTTATATTTGAGTCTTCTTTTTAACTGGGAAAAAAGATATTGTTTGCAAAAGTGTGAGTCTGAAGAAAACGATGGACGATTTGTTTGTGTCTTGGTTCTAACTTTTTTTTTTCAGATGGAACTTTAAATGACAAAATTTTGATTGCAAATCTTCACTGTCCAAGACTTTTTTGTTTTGATGTGTTATTTGGCAAAGTATGAAACTTTATGACCTGATTAGTCTGAAATCAGAACCCTGAATTATAAGTGCTGGAATTATACAACAGATGGATATATATGAGAGCTGGAACTGGAAAGCAATTCAACTTCTTATTTATGTGGCAAAATATTTGGAAGAATTGAGTTGATAATATGATATTGTTTCAACTATTATATTCATTTTACATTATACATTACCTGATAGTTTCAATTTTATTGTTGAATCAAAAGCATTACCGAGCACGCCTCTCACTTGATGGTTGTACTTTTGCTTCTCCTGTGTTTCAAATATTGTACCTTAACCCTTGCTATTTGGTTCCATTTGTTGAATTATTATCTATTGATTCACAGTTTCTAGCTCAAAAAGTTGTTTGCTTTTGTTACAGGACTTTCATTGCTCCTTTGGAGAGATTGAAGTTGGAATATATTGTTCGTGGTGAAAAGAAAAATCTTTTCGAACTAATTAAATGGATTGCAGCCACACAAGGGTTGAAAGGTTTTTGGAAAGGGAATTTCCTCAATATTCTACGCACTGCTCCTTTTAAGGCTATCAATTTCTATGCTTATGATATTTACAGAAGTCAGCTATTGAAATTGTCTGGAAATGAGGAAGCCACAAATTCCGAGAGGTTTCTTGCCGGTGCTGCAGCTGGGATTACTGCAACTTTGCTCTGCTTACCAATGGATACTTTATGTGACAATTTTGAACTTCATTATTTGATTACATATTAGCCTCCCATTTTTTGCATTGTGTGTGTTTTGGGTCGGGTTTAGAGGATTTTGTGGAATTTGAGTTCTTGTATTTAAGTATTCTTAGTGTATGTTTTAGATTTGGCCGCATGATCTGATGAGAAGCAATGATGTGATGTGACTGAAAATAACATTCTTCTGTGAGTTTAGTCTACTTGCCCTGATATGTAGTGTTTGCACAGGGGTGATCCTCTTCTTGATGTGGCAGGTTTGGTTTTGTGAATACTGTCTGCACGTAACACATCATATGAAACTATTTGTATCCCATCCCATTTCTTCCACCTATTTCAGTTGTATTAGATTCTTTCCATTTTGACATTATATGCCTTCTTGAGATTTTCTTTCTTTTTCTATCCGAACATGTTTTAGAGAAGTAGATGTTATGGGTACCCTCATATTCCCCCTTTCCAATACACTTGGTTATGATTCAAATGCTTTTCAATTAGCAAGTCAGATGGAGTAATTTTAATTTGTCAATCTAGGTTGTAATGTTAATTTTTTTCTTTCTTGAATATGGTATGTGGAATTGCTTTCCAGTTAAAAATTTTGGTAAGTGGTTCTGTATGTGCTAATTACAGATAAGGACAGTAATGATAGCTCCAGGTGGGGAAGCTTTGGGTGGGTTGATCGGTGCTTTTCGGCATATGATTCAGACCGAAGGGTTCTTTTCCCTTTACAAGGGACTGGTCCCCTCGATTATAAGCATGGCACCTTCAGGTGCAGTCTTCTATGGTGTCTACGATATATTGAAGTCAACCTATCTTCGCTCACCCGAAGGGAGGAAAAGAATTCAAGACATGAAACAAGGTGGTCAAGAACTGAATGCATTTGAACAATTAGAATTGGGTCCCGTTAGAACACTACTATACGGGGCAATTGCTGGTGTGTGTTCCGAAGCTGCTACATATCCATTTGAAGTTGTGAGGAGGCACCTTCAAATGCAAGTCCGTGCGACTAAGTTAAGTGCAATGGCAACTTGTGTCAAGATAGTTCAGGAAGGAGGAATTTCCGCTCTGTACGCAGGATTAATCCCCAGCATACTGCAGGTACTAAAATAACCTGTCCAGAAAAAGAACTATTGCTCTACTTCTTGAATTTATCGGTATATCTTTTTAACTAATTTGTTTTCATAGTTATCTTGGAATATTTACCATCACCAAAATTTAACTGTCTTTGAATTTTCAAAGCTGTAAAGCTTCAATTGAATTGTATCTGATTGATTTGAATTTTTTTTCTGGAGATAAAACTCATTTATAGAGAATCCGGCAAACTGTAGAGAACTTGCATTTTGAAGTATATTAACAATCAATTTTGCTTGCATCAGTTGTTGAAACGCCTATGGAATATGCAGCTATGTATATATTTGCTCGAATACATTTCTGTGTATATTAAATCACTCTTGATTGCACAAATTCATTTCAGGTATTACCATCAGCTGCCATAAGTTACTTGGTTTACGAGTTCATGAAGATACTTCAAAAAGTGGAGCCAGCATAGACATTTTATCTACTCAACATTTTTTTCTCCGGATCGTTGGTGACTTTATTATCGATTAAGGCTGTGGATGTTTTCTCTTTGGGTAAAACGCCCAAGGTAATTTCAGATTTACCTATACCATTTTACAAACCAATAGATGGGCAATGGACAATAACCAATGAATGTACCCAAAATCTCTTGCAATGGACAATAAACAATAGATGGGCAAGGCAATTTCTGTGAAAATCTCTTGTATTTTTAACCAATGAATATGTACCCAAAATATATGGGTAAAAAAGCTAGGCTATTTAAAAGTAAAACTCTCCTAAGACCTACATTGTAATTACAGGACACACAAAGGTGCAAAACACAGCTTCTCTAACTCCTCATTTGCAAAATAGCATTCTTATTTCACATTTACTGATTCTAATACACCTGCACAGCTTGTCTATTAGGTTTATTTTCCTACTGTTCTGAACAGTAACTCATTGGTAAAAAACCAAACTCTATTCTCAGCTATTCTTGTTTGCACCAAGACTCATAAAATAAGATATACCCATGATCTGTAATGCTTGAATACTCCTAAGCATGATCTGTAATGCTTGAATATTCCTAAGCAGACCCAAAAAAATGTCTGAACTGCAGAGATATCAATCATCTCGACATTTTCATCGTTGAAAAATAAACAGTGATTTTGGCTTTTCACCAGGCTAACATAATTCCCGTGGTTAGGTCCACTTCCTACATGAACAACTACAGCAAACAGAGAATACTCCGAATCTGCATCTTCCACAGAGAGCTTCTTGTACCGGCCGACTGCTCAATGTACTTGAACCGCTTTACATGGATGACCAGGATGTGAGCAGGCTACTTTATCTTCATTCTCTTCTGCGCATCTTGCAAACTGCAATAAAAAAATAAACCTCATATGTCAGAAACTTGAACACATCTCTGATGCACATGTAAGTCATATGATCAATTTATCTATAAAGCTAAATCATAACATAATCATATATCAAACAAACCATAACATGCATTTAAACTAAAACATTTTATGGCATTTTTTATGCAAAGTTACATACACATAGAAATACATTTAGTACATTTTAATTAGATTTAGTCTGATGATCTATTAGTGGTCTATAGATACTCGGATCTCACTTCCTCCCCAAGTATTGATACAATACAATAATAATAACATATCTTACTCGGAGAAACATAGTCTTGTAAAATCAACATCTCTCCTCATCGTTAAGACTGAAGTCTTAAATAACATATACACATATACCACACACTTGTATCATGGCAATGTATCCGAAACTAAACTAATATTAAAGGGCTCATTTTATTAACTTACCAAAGTATCGAATATCGCCGACTTCATATCGGATTATAACACATCTTATTATCAATATTGAACAAAGTATTTAGCTTAATTTCCACACACACGTATATTTTTGTACATAAAAGTTTAGTTCAGGGGTGGTTCCCACAGTCCAGGGTCAATGCATACCTAAGAATCAATTGGGATTTACATATGAATTTACAGATTGCCCACCAAGAGTGACAGTGGTAGGATTCGAACTTAACCTTAAAAACTTAAATTCTTGAATTCCAACCAATTGTGCCAACACTCTTTGGCAATTCAATTTTCATATCGGACATGACAATTAGCATAATTTTACAAAAATGTCATAATTTACCTATCACACATAAGTGTTAATATGTTTAGATATATCAATTCACTAAAATTTCATAATGAAACACATTATAACTTGTGATCGAACAACATGGTTGTCAAATACTTGAATAGAATCATATATATATATATATATATATATTTGTTTTTTTAAATGGAGTCTTGTATGTTGTTAAAGTGTAGCAATCATACAAAGACAAAACGACATTAAACGGGGCCTCGTTAAAAAACCTCCCTCAATCAAATGCCAAATGATACAAAACAACCACACGATTCAAAACAGTCCTCAACCAGCATACAAGAAATACTACAATCTAAAACAGATGCAAAAAAGAAAAGAGGAATCGATCCCAGCAGTACATAGAAAAGTTACAAAAGCCAAACCCTATTTGCGCACCAGCCTTAACCGCCCCACAATCCATCTTTGCACTATCATCATGGTAGCACGAAACACTACCGTTTACCTCAAAACCTTATAACAATAACATCGAATGCACCTTGGAGGCAATTAATGTCAATCAATCAAAGCAAAACAACAAGATAGCAACAACCAGTCATCAACTACCCCATCCAAGCAACACAAAACAACAACACGACATACAAAAAACTGTATGGACTCACAACCCCTGCGAACTACTTGAAAACAATAACCCTATTTGGATAACTGGAAAAATCAACTGTAGAAATACATAAATCAAGGTATTTGCACTTGAACCAAAACATAATCATAGCCTTAGCCGACTCTAGAATATGATTAATGCACACTCTACATTTGTTAAAAAAAACACATCATTATTACACCGCCAAATAGTCCACGACAGACCGAAAAAAGATATTGACCATAGTTTCATACTTGACCTTGAAACCAAGCACCCAACCCAAGATAGGAGAAAGGATTTCACATTAGGCGGGCATACAAAAATGTAAATTCCAACTCACAAATCACCCCTGCCATACACCCCACACCACACCATAGTGGCAAAAGAGATAGTTAATTGACTCCATATCCTTCCTGCAAAACACGCATAAACATGGATTAGAATCAACCACGCCCCGCTTAGCAAGTTCCACTAGAACTGACAGCTTTTGGGCCACCATCCTTCAAACGAACAACTCAACTTTTGGTGGAACAAGATTTGTTCAAACAATCTTCCACACCATCTCAGGCTCATTTTCTTCACTCCTGCTCAATGAACAAAAACATTTAGACGAATACAAAACATTTGCAGCCCCTACCCAAGACAATCGATCATGACCGGAATGACGTGACGCAACACTATTAAGAATTTGCATGAAATCCACCCACATGTCCCACAAAAAGCGATCTTCTAACCTCAATATTCCACTCCCAGCATCTGTTCACTCTCGAACCAAAAACCCCTACTTTTCCTTCTTTTTTAACAGCCAAACTGAAGATTATTGGGAATGCAGTTTTGAGTGACGGTAGAGAATACCAATAATCGTTCTAAAAGTCAGCCGACTCCCCATCACCAACAATAATTCTCATATCATTAACAAAGTTAGCATTAGACCCTGACTGAGGGTGAATAATAGTTCTCCAAACCTATGACATCTTCCTATCTGAAATTGGGTTAGGAATCAACGAACGAGCATCGTACCCATGCTTAGCTATCAACACCTTCTTCCAATGGATCCTTATTCACACCCAAATCTCTAGATCTATTTATTAAGTAACGCTCTATTTTTTACCCTTTAAGTCAATTATCCCCAAGCCGCCTTGATTTCACGATTTATAGACCTTACTCCATTTGACCCAATGGTTAGCCCTGCCAGACTTTGTACCCCAAAGAAATTAGCCACAAGGCTATTCAACTTTGAAGCCACTGACACATGCATTTGAAACAGAGACAAATAATAAATCGGGAGGTTCGACAAAACCGACTTCACTAACAGAAGCCTCCCACCAAAAGAGAGCATCTTACTCTTCCACCCATCCAATCTTTCATGAAATCTGTCAACAATCGGTTTCCACAAAGCTACGTAAATCCTAGGATAACCAACGGGAAGACCGAGGTACGTAGTTGGAAAGCTATCCCACCCACACTTAACAGTTTCTGCCCAATTTGAGATACAACTATCTTCAATGTTCACTCCCAATAGTTTTGAGTTACGCAAATTGAGACTCGATCCTGAAGCAGCTTCAAAAATTTTGAGAACCCTTTTCGAATTTTTAATTGAGTCAATATTTCCATCGGAGAATATCATGAGACAAGGATAAAACACCATTGCCAATTTGGATTCCTTTAATCAGTCCTACTTCCACTTCCTTGTTGATTAAAGCGCTGAGAGCCTCACCCACAGGATTGAACAGAAAAGGCGATAACGGACAGGCCTGCCGCAACCCTCTCTTGATACTGAATTTCTAGTGGAAGTGCCATTAACAAGCACATATATGGATGCCGAAGAAATGTATAAAATTATCCATTTTTTCACCTAGACACAAAACCCATTTTCCTCATTACCAACCCCAAGAAGCCCCAATCAATTGAATCATATTCCTTGCCAAAATCAGCTTTAAGAACCACTGTTTTTCTTCTCATTCTCTTTAGATCATCAACGACTTCATTTACTATAAGCGCACAGTCCGCGATTTGCTTCCCTTCAATAAACGCAAACTAGGAATCACCTACGACTTCCTTTACACACCTTGCTAGTCTTCTAGACAACACCTTGGCCAGAATCTTATACAAGCTGCCTACTAAGGAAATAAGCCTAAAGTTATCGACGATATCAGGAGCATTACTCTTTGGGATAAGGGTAATAAATGAATGGTTGAAAGAGGAATCATGCCACTTTCCTTTGTAAAAATCTGCAAAGAAATCCATCACCACTCCTTTAATTGAACTCCATAATTACTTGTAGAATTGAACATTAAACCCATCGGGTACGGGAGCTTTAGACCCGTCAGATGAAGAAATGGCATTCCATACTTATGTAAGAACGGTTCTTCGTTCATTTTCCTCGATGATACGCACATTTTCTTTAAAAGTACATCAAAACGTTTAATAGGAAGTATGCTACCCTAGTTATAATATCTTCTCAAATTTTATTCAATCACCTTGGAAATCTGCACTGGGACTTCAACCACCTCAGTCCCAACTCTAATGCGAGATATATGATTCAAACGACCCCTTAAGGCTGCTAGCATGGAAAAATTTAGTATTCCAATCTCTTTCTTTGAACCACTTCAACCAACACTTTTGAAGCTAGCCCACAGTTTACTTCTCAGCTGGATAATATTGTTAAGCACCACACTAAGATTGCTGGAAGCGGAAACCCTTTCTTCCAACACTTGAATGTCGGCCTCCAACTCCCTAATTGAGCCTGGTTCCTTTCCATTAACTTTAGAAACCCAAACCTTGGATGCACATTTTACCTTCTTGAGCAATGAACTCTCACCCTCATGCCTACACTCACTGCATACTTTACTAACATCATCCACATAAGCAAGGTCGTTCGCCCAGGGAGTGAACCATTTGAAGGGTCGAGGACCTCGCGAGAAAGCCACTACTTTATGAACAATTGGGTTATGGTCCGAAATGCTTCTAGGAAGAGCGACTTGGGCGATATTTGGAAATCGAACAAGGATATTCGGAGACACCAAGAACCTATCAATCCTGCTCACTGAAACAAAACTTCCTCCTCAA